CAAATGATGTTCAAGACCCACCTAATGTTGATCAACCAAGAAACATTGGTGCTGGTGATGCCCCAATGAATCATCACCAAAGACAAGGGATAGTGCCCCCCACCAGTTCAGAACAACAACTTTGAGATCAAGAGTGGTCTCATCTCCATGATCCAAGGAAACAAGTTTCATGGCTTACCTATGGAAGATCCCCTGGACCATCTTGACAGCTTTGATAGGCTCTATGGCCTAACCAAGATCAATGGTGTCACTGAAGATATGTTTAAGCTCAGACTTTTTCCCTTCTCTTTGGGAGACAAGGCACACCACTGGGAGAAGACTCTGACCCCAGACTCCATCACCTCATGGGTCGATTGTAAGAAAGCTTTTATTGCCAAGTTCTTCTCTAATGCTCGCACAGCTATATTGAGGAACGAGATCTCAGGCTTCACACAGAAAAACAATGAAACTTTCTGTGAAGCTTGAGAGAGCTTTAAAAGCTACACCACTCAATGCCCCCATCACGGTTTTAAGAAAGCATCATTATTGAGCACACTCTACAGAGGAGCTTTACCAAAGATCAGAATGCTACTCGACACTGCCTCAAACGAAAACTTCCTGAATAAGGAAGTAGCAGAAGGATGGGAGTTGGTCGAAAATCTGGCACAATCTGATGGGTGCTACAATGAAGACTATGATCGCTCAGTGAGAGGAACTAGAGGCACTGAGAATAAATAGAGCAAAGATATCAAGGATCTGAATGAAAAGCTAGACAAGCTGTTAGACTCGAGCCCCTGGTAGAGTAGATGGTTCTATGACTTCAACAAACCACTCGACCCCCTGGTCGAGTAGATGGCCTCATCACTGCACATCACCGCTCGACCCCCAGGTCGAGTACCACCAAGACAACCACTCGATCACATCACTCGACCCCCTGGTCGAGTATCATCACGTCCACCACATCACCTTCACTCGATCATACTACTCGACCACATGGTCGAGTACCTACATCACCTCCAGCTCATCACTCGACCACTCACTCGACCACCTGGGTCGGGTACCATTCTTAATCCGTCCCAATACTGCGTCGTTTTGAGTATTAGGGTTTTGAAATATTTCGCTATTAGTAGCATGTACTTTATATTTTCGTTATTCTAAGTTTTATTCCGCATACACTGTGTTCTTGACATTTTGTAATCCGGATTTCTCTTAATCTATTTAGTATTCAGGATTTGCTTTTGATTTCATTTACTAAGTTGTTCATCTTGTTATCATCTTGCCATTACTCTGTTGCTATCATGTTTTCATTCTATTCATCGTTTATGATTTCTACTATGATGTCTGAGTAGTGAATAAGTTTTTGAGGATGGGTTAAAGTAGTTTAGAATTCTCAGTATGCTAGGTGGTTGAGTTTGATTTATAGATCCTTCTGGATTAGTTGTTCTTAATGCCTATTGCTTTCTGATCAACTGGAATTTGAGCCCAGACATTTCCACGCCCAAAAGGTGTTCGATGAAATATCTGAACCACTCTAGAGATTCGTGGCTCTGTACCAAGGTATTGATTGCAGGGAGCGTTTTGGCTTTAACTTGTTGATTTGTAATGCCTGTTAGGTTAGCTCTCGTCAATGGTGATTGAGTCTGGGACAGGTTTAACTTGAGGGTCTCTGTTGCGGTGGCACTTAGATTTGGTTATCGAACTTGTCGTCTAGGAATAATTTATTGAGCATGTCAATCACCTGTAAACTGAGGAAACAAAACTACTCAATTACCCCATCCTCGGGAATTTTGCATCCAATTGATTTCTTTGTTAACTCTGCTATTGTTTACTGCATCTTGTTACTTGTTACTTAGTTTTTGTATTTTTCCCCTGTTACTCGACCTTATACTCGATCACCCAGTTGTCTGGCAACAGACTGTGCAGTGGAGTATCTCTGTTACATTTTCTGTCTATTACTTCACCTGTCACTCGACCACACCCAGTGCTTGGCAACAAGCTGTGTTGGTCTAGTGTTTTTACTGTTCTGCTTAAATTTCTGTTTTCTAAATGTTCACTTAGAACTACTAGAACACACCCAAACCTATTATTGGTTGGCTTGACTCTGTGAACTCTGATTGCATCTTGATTATTAGCATCACACCCATTTGGATTGACAACCTAAAATACTACAACGACATGATTGGTGTTTTAGGATAATTGACTAAAAACCTATTATCAATGTGCTACATTCAGAACCAAGGAGGGTTCAACAAGGGCTACAACAACTACAAGCCCAACCCAAACCTCTCCTACAGAAACACTAATGTAGGTAACTAAAATCTACAAGGAGAGAACTAAGCTTTTCCATGACAAGAGGATCATCACCAAGGATTTCGAAGTTGTTGATTAGATGCTGCTATTCAACTCTCGCTTGAAACTCTTTCCTGGAAAGCTTAAGTCTAAGTGGTCTGGTCCTTTCTGTATCACTGAAGTCTGTCCTTATGGAGCAGTCACTCTAGCTAGTAAGAGTGGAGATTTCACAGTAAATGGTCAAAGGCTCAAGAAATACTAAGCAGATCAAATCCTCCCAGAGGTGACGTCGGTTCATCTCCAGGAACTTCTAAATGATTAAAGGAGTAAAGGAGTCGAGCTAATGACTTTAAACAAGCTCACTTGGGAGAAAGTCCCATGACTATCTCTGTAAATAAATTTTTTACTTCTTGTTATTTTTCATTTGTTTTCGTTGTGTTTATGGTTCTCAGGAACAAAGAAACAACGTGGAGATGGAGTAAAAATTCAAAACTTTTACTCTACAGAAGGCCTGGAGATCGAGTGTATAGCCCAGTGGAGTGCAAAATTTTTAAAACTTTCTGTTGCACCTGGAGACCATGAATTCGAGTATATCAGTCAAGTATATGTGAGGTTTAAAACCCATATTTTTTAAATCATCATTATACTCGACCAACAAGAGCTACAGAGACTTGTAGGGAGTTTATCAAATTTACAGAAGATTTCCTAAAGTTTTCCCAGTCAACAGGGAACAAAGTCCAAAGACAAGTCAACAGAGTGTGGACCACGCGTTTTGTTCCTGAAGAAAAGATGGAGAGAGAATCACATAATCAATCTCCACCACACCTTTTGAACTCGACCACACATTCCCTAAAAGTAAAACCTACTCGACCCATCTCTCTTCGTCTCTCCACCGACACTCCAATTTCTCTACTCCACCACGAATCGCCATCCCTCACCAAAGAGTCAGTCGACTCAACTTCACTCGAGTTCGTCGCTATACTCGACCATTTCACTTCGCCGTTCGCCGTCACTTTGTTCTCGCCATACTCGACCTTCTCTTAGTCGCCATAGTCGAGTTCCCCACCTCGTTCACCGTCGAAGTCTCATGAACTACTCCATTACAACCACAGGACTCGACCGTCGACTTATGGTTTCGTCCCTACCAATTCTGACTCACCGAAGAAGTACTCGACCTCTGGACTTCACCGGCTGAACTCGACCTCAAAATTTCACTCGACCTCTGGTGCTAGCAATCAACAGAGCCACTCAACTTCAGAGACTTTACTCGACCACCGGTCTCTAATCTACTCGATCCAATTCGTGATAGAGTAACTGGGGAGCACTTTAGTTTACTCGAGTATTATACTATACTCGACCAAATTGGTCCATTTCATTGCTTGTTGATTACAATTTTGGTTTCATTGTTATCTTTGAGACAGACCTATTGACATTTGAGTTTTGAGTTCTAAATCTTCTGCAGGACAATCATGAGTAATTATAGTGGCAGTTCTTCAGTTGATCCTGACTACAACATGGATGAGACAGAGTCGTCGTCTTCAAGGCCAGAGAGAGAACATAGAGAATATGATAGTTTCAGAAGAAAAGCTGAGATAGCCCGAGGGAAGAGAGCAATGACAAAGAGATATGAGCTTATAGATGAGGATCTGGAAGACGAGTACATGCCTGAGCATACTCGAAGAGCCACCAAACTTCTGCATAAACCTGATGTATTGTTTGTTGAGGAATATATTAAGCTCTTCAAATTGAAAGAGTTCTGTACCACAAGGTATTCATGCTCGACCACACTCGCACAACTTGGATTGCTGGAGGATGTTCAGCACTTGTACTAGAGTTGTCATCTGGACACTTTAATGGCTTATCCGTATGTAGCATATGAAGAAGAAACGATTCAGTTCCTCTCCACACTGCAAGTGGAGCTTTACCAAGGTATGACCTTTGATGATTTGGAATGCGAAGGATTGGGATTCTTGAGATTCTCTGTGTATGGTCATGAGTATAGGTTATCAATCAAGCGCTTGGAAGGATTGTTTGGTTTCCCCAGTGGAACGGGTACTAAGCCCAAGTATGATAGAGAAGAGTTGAAAGATTTAGGGATCACCATTGGCAACTCTGTACCGCTGAATTCTTCCAGGTCAAAGAGCAATCAGATACGCAGCCCTGTCATCAGGTACTTCCAGCGTTCTATAGCCAATGTCCTCTACTCCCGAGAGATCATAGGGATTGTTACCAATTCTGATATGGAGATGATCGATATGGCTCTCAAAGGCACTCTCCGCCAAACCAAGAACAAAATGTCTCTCCAAGGTGAAATCAATGACACACCTCTCTCTATACTTCTTCTGATCCACATGTGTGGATACAAGAGATGGGCTGTCAGCAATAACCACAAGAGAGCACGAGGCGCTCTTTGCATAGGCGGTGTTGTGACACCGATTCTGATCGCTTGTGGAGTCCCAATCACATCTGATGGACTCGAGCCACGGGTAATGGATATTAAGCATCTACATCACTTCGAATTCCTAGAGTTCGCAATGCTTGGCGAAATGCACCGTTTCAAGTTTGAGCACTCTACGGATAAGAGAGCCAACATCCTTCTCCCCAGCCCAAGGTTACACGCATAATAGAGGGAGAAAACATTAATTTTAGGCCTGAGCTTGGGAACCTATACAATGAGGACGCTCCGCCATTGGGTGAGGATGATCTTATAGAAGAAGAAGCTGAGGATGGGATGGATGAAGACAGAGAAGTGGAGCTTGACACTAGCATATATCATTGTAGTGAATATGTACCTCCAGCGAGGGAGAGCAAGAGCTTGAGTGTAACAACAACAAGCTACAGAAGTGGTGCAAGAAACAGGACAAGCTACTCGCCAAGTGCTTCAAAACTATCAAGTTCCTAATAGATAAGTTGAGCTGCTCCTCTTCCACTACAGTTATCCCACAGGGACACCCTCCTCTAGACATGCCATTGAGGAGATTTGATGAGCCTGAGCCAAGTCAACACAGGCCTGAGCCTAGTGAGCAGAGAGTCTCACATGTCCTTGCTAGGCATTTATCATTCGAGTCCCGGGAGCACAAGAGAAGAAGGAAGGCTACACTCGTTCGCTCTAGCAGCAAATCACGCCTTATACACTTGAGGAGATCACTCGACCGTGGTGCTGGCCGCAGTAGAAGGAGAGAGGTCGAGTATCCTCAGAGCGATGTTGGCCGCCACATAGTTGATGGGGTCGAGTACCCACATGCTGGAGCTGACACAGAACAGGGCGGCTCATCTATGGCCTGGGAGAATTCACAAGCAGCCATTGACGACCAACTCCGTTCATTCTTCGACTGAGGTAAGCGCCTCACTTCACCATTGTATTATATCATCTCTTGTGATTTGTTCTTTATTTTGTTTCTGTGATTGGATTTATCCTGAATACTCTCTTCCATGTTTAGTCACACAGTGGATTGTGTGATTTAAGTTTGGGGGAGGGTTCAAGAAGTGAGTGTTGCATTGTTTATACTCTTGAGTCTGCACTCATCTAAGGCATAGAAAAACGAAAAAAATTTTAAAAAAATTCAAAAAATGATTTCACAAAAACTGAGTGTTCATGTAGTTGCATTACATTTAGGATCGAGTCTAGAATGTTTCATTTAAGATTGTTGCATATGCATAGGGGATAATGATGAGATATTCTTGTAAGCATTTTGGTTCACCGAATAAACTCAGTGCCCTCGTTGCTAGTTATTTGTTGCGTAGTCAGTGAAATTGAAGTAAAACTGAACCATGCCTAGATTGCTCTACTCGACCACACTGTCATGATCTGATGCATTCCCTATCAATTTGAACCTTAATCTAATCTTTAACTATCATGTCTGCATCAAATTTGAACTCATGTATACCCTAAAATACTTGGATTTTCTTATTCATTTTGATCACTCTTGTTAATCCAAGTAGCTGACTCTCCTTATTAGAGTAGTTAACCCGAGCCCAAACCTAGACTTTCTTTCAAGCCCTATATCACTTGTGAGTGTTTGTGAGGTCTTATTCCGATTAAGCTTGGTAGAAAGTGTTAGGTTCGTAACGAAAGAGATAGTGTCTCATGTAGTTCTAGTTCGCATTTTCCGGACTAGATAGGACTAGGTGGGCGCTTATACTTTGGGTTTGGATGTGTCTAAAAGAAAAAAAAAAAGGGTTGATTCATTGATGAAAAAAGGTAAAAGACTCTAGGTGAAGTAAGCTAAAGAAGCAGAAAAAGTCTAGTAAAGGTTTTGGGATTTGTAAAGAAAAGAAAGAGTTCTTGTTAGCTATTGAAGAAGGGCAAAAGCCCTCGGTTTTAAAATTCTAAAAACAGGAACCATAGTTGTTAAAGAAATCCAAATCCGCTAGATGTATCAAAGTGTTGAGAAAGCTTCTCCTAGAGTTAAGAGAAAATAAAAAAATGATTAGAAAAAGGGCTTAAAAGATTCATGAAGCCTATTCTGTAAGGGACTATCTTTGTCTCTTGACCTTTACCTTAGCCAAATGAGGTCATTGATGATGCATTGTTTGATTCACGTTCCAGAACTAATAAATGTTAAAGGGATTGGTAGATTTGAAAACATGTGTAGGTCGAGCATAAGAGTCGGATTGATTGATAACAAGGCATGGCTAACGTTTTTGAGTAGAATTCGATCATATCGCAACTTAGAACTATCAACTTGGACATTGATTTCATCTGATTTATCTGGTGCTTTGGCTCTGAGTCCCGGCCTTCAAACCTCACCTCCAGCTTGTTCTTAATTGTTTACTTGAGGGCAAGCAAAGATTAAGTTTGGGGGAGTTGATAAGTGTGCATTTTACATATTGTGAACATCCATTTGTTATCACTATTGCATCATATCACCACTGATTTATACCATTTCTCATCATTTGTCATCACTTTGCATGTTTAGGATAGTTTTGCATGTATGATGCATATTTGTGTTGTTTTTAGGTGATTTGGAGCTGTTGGCGAGCTAATTGGAAGAAGCGGACCTGATCACTGCAAAACACTCGACCCCCTGGTAGAGTAGATGGTTCCACGACTTCAACAAACCACTCGACCCCCTGGTCGAGTAGATGGCCTCATCACTTCACATCACCACTCGACCCCCTGGTCGAGTACCACCAAGACAACCACTCGATCACATCACTCGACCCCCTGGTCGAGTATCATGACGTCCACCACATCAACTTCACTCGATCACACTACTCGACCACATGGTCGAGTACCTACATCACCTCCAGCTCATCACTCGACCACCTAGGTCGAGTACCATTCTTAATCCGTCCCAATACTGCATCGTTTTGAGTATTAGATCCCTTCTGGGTTAGTTGTTCTTAATGCCTATTGCTTTCTGATCAACTGGAATTTGAGCCCAGACATTTCCGCGCCCAAAAGGTGTTCGATGAAATGTTTGAACCACTAATTACAGAGATTTGTGGCTCTGTACCAAGGTATTGGTTGCAGGGAGCGTTTTGGCTTTAACTTGTTGATTCGTAATGCCTGTTAGGTTAGCTCTCGTCAATGGTGATTGAGTATGAGATTGGTTTAACTTGAGAGTCTCTGTTGCGGTGGCACTTAGATTTGGTTATCGAACTTGTTGTCTAGGGATAATTTATTGAGCATGTCAATCACCTATAAACTGAGGAAACGAAACTACTCAATTACCCCATCCTCGGGAATTTTGCATCCAATTGATTTCTTTGTTAACTCTGCTATTGTTTACTGCATCTTGTTACTTGTTGCTTAGTTTTTGTATTTTTCTCCTTTTACTCGACCTTATACTCGACCACCCAGTTGTCTGGCAACAGACTGTGCAGTCGAGTATCTCTGTTACATTTTCTGTCTGTTACTCCACCTGTCACTCGACCACACCCAGTGATTGGCAACAAGCTGTGTTGGTCGAGTGTTTTTACTGTTCTGCTTAAACTTCTGTTTTCTGAATGTTCACTTAGGGCTGCTAGAACACACCCAAACCTATTATTGGTTGGCTTGACTCTGTGAACTCTGATTGCATCTTGATTATTAGCATCACACTCATTTGGATTGACAACCTAAAATACTACAACGACATGATTGGTGTTTTAGGATAATTGACTAAAAACCTATTATCACTGTGCTACATTCAGAACCAAGGAGGGTTCAACAAGGGCTACAACAACTACAAGCCCAACCCAAACCTCTCCTACAGAAACACTAATGTAGGTAACTCCCAAGATCAAGTGTATCCACCACAACAAAATCACTCTAAGCCATTTGTTAAGTACAACCAAGGTTATGTCCCTAAACAAAAGTTTAATGGAGGCTACCAATAGCAGAATCCACCACCATGGTTCACTCAACAACCACAACAAACCCCAGCGGCTCAAGATCCTGAAATTAAGCAACTTATTCAACAAATCATTCAAGGACAAGCTACTGGAGCTATGGCTTTTGACAAGAAGATAGCTGAATTACACAACTAGATCGATTGTTCTTATAACGATCTAAATGTCAAGTTTGAAGCTCTGAATTCCAAAGTCAAGTATGTGGAGAGTCAGTTTGCATCCACCTCTGCTCTGAAGCATCCTCAGCAACTTCATGGGAAAGCAGTTCAGAATCCTAAGGACTATGCTACTGCAAATGCTATCACCATCCACCAAGAAGATGAGTCTCCACCAAGTCATCAGATTCCCAATATTGAGGACAGTATGATTCAAGAAGGGGGGATTCAACTCAAATTGTTGCACCTGCCATCCAACAATTCATCTGGACTATAGAGCACACACCTTTGCTGAATACTCACCACTCTGAAAAACATTTCAAAAGAGAAAAACTCAAGAAGGATCAGAATTAAGAGATGATTAGTAGAGTCATCACTCAAGAAGCTTACAAGAAGAAAGTCATCCAAGAAAAGCTTAGTGATCCCGTTTCATTCACTCTGCCATGCTCTCTACGACCATTGATATTCAATAGGTACCTTTGTGATTTGGGAGCATCTGTTAGCCTTATGCCTCTCTCTACAGCTAAAAGGCTAGGGATCATGGAATTCAAGTTCTGCAACTTAGCTTTACTCTTAGCTGATTGTTCTGTTGCACATCCTCATGGTCTAATAGAAAATCTGCCTATCAAGATTGGAAATATTGAGATACTTACAGATTTTGTGGTATTAGACATAGATGACGAGGGAAAGGATCCCCTGATCCTAGGTAGACCATTATTAGCTTCAGCTGGAGCAGTCATAGATGTCAGGAATGGAAAAATTGATCTAAACCTTGAAAAAGGTATCAAGATAAGATTTGACATCAGCAAAGCTTCGGGGAAATCAACAACAAGAGGTCAGAATTTGGGGATTCAGGACATGGATGCTGATGAGGAAACAGAAGTTGGAACCCCACCAAGAGTTAACTATACTTCTCAACTTAGCAAGCTGAAGAGAACTTTTGACCACAAGAAGAGAGCAATAGAAGGGTTAGCTCAGACTGAATATCCTACAAAAGATAACTGGTATGAGATGAGAAAAAAAATTAAATGGCAAAGCAGAGTTATAGAGGGATTATCTTCAAGGGTGATGAAGCTGAAAGATCAACTATGGATGTTTGAAAAAAGAGTTAATAAGTTTTCAATGAGTATTGATCCAGAGAAGATGGAAACTGCACTAGCTATCAAAGAGGACGAAGATTTCACGGCAGAATAGTTTGTGATAAGTAGGTTTTTACGCTTACTTATGTGCTGAATGTGAGGTTCAGTTCAATTCCTCTTAAACACTAACATGTCATTGCAGCTATAGGGGGTGTCAATCCAGTCCACTGTTATTGCTAGCAATCAAGATGTGTACAGAAGCAACTAAGTCAAGCCAGATTATAATGATGGTGGGTTTCTAGTAACAATCCTAGGTCAGGATTCAAACAGGTAAAAACGAGAACTTAAGAGCCCTACTCGATCATTGGGTCGA